CGCAACCGATAGGAGACGGCTTTATTCTCGGCCGCCGCCGAGGGCGCAACCTATGGCGCAACCGATCGGAGTTTTTTTTCTGGCTTCTGCGGCCGACCCCAGAGAAAAAAACTATGGGGGTCATGCAGCGCACCGCGCAGGCAAAGCATCCCTGCCATGTTGCACCTTCCATGACCATGCAACTGCAACATTGCAGATTTCAGCGCCTGGCGTCATTGGTGACAGCTGTTACGGCCGATCTCTCAACCATCGGTGCGAATTGGATCCATGTCAAGTCAAAATTCACGCGCTCCGCGTTGTTCTTGCGCCCACGTCACGTCGACAGACCTCTGCCAGGAGAGGGAGAATGAGCAGGAGGAGGAAGAGGAGAAAAGAGGACGAGGTCCTGGACGAGGACGACGAGGAGCTGGAGCAGGAGGAAGACGAGGAAGACGAGGAGGATGAGGAGGAGGAGGATGAGGAGGAGGACGACGACGATCAGGAAGAGGAGGAGGACGGTGAGGAATACGCGTAGTACGAGGACGAAGTGTGGGCATTCGAATGCGTGCGGGGCTACGCCCGATTTCTGCTCGCCGTTTGGCCTGGCGGCGGGGCCCAAGCGGCGAGCTGTCTGGCGGTTCGATTTGTTTGTTTGTCTCTTGGGGGCCCTCCTGGGCCGCGGGACCGTTGACTCGACTCAGGATGAGCAGCCAGTTTCAGGGAAGGGGTAGAGTGCTCTGGGTTCCCCTGGTAAACAATCATGACGTTGTGTCTGATGCAGAGAGGGAGGATCGGATCGGATCGGATCGGGCTCGTGGACTTCTTGGGGGAAACCTGGCTGCTACCGCGACGCTGCTGAGCACCGTGCGCAGACACCCAGAGCTCTGGATGGCAAGACTTCCGTGGACGCCTGCCGTACGGCTTCTGGATAGCGTGTCGCTCCGCCGGTTCTGGCCCACCACGCTTCGGCGCGACACGCTGGCCACTTCCGGGCCCCCAAGCGTCAACGTCCTGAGTCTGTCCGATCCTCCCGCCCCGCGGAGCAGAGCGGCACGCGATGCACTCGCAGGCCATAGCGTGTCGCCAGGGCCGCCGTGGCGACACGCTAGGCAACAGTTCCCAACAGTAGGAGCAGCGGGATGATCGAACTTCTGGGCGTGATCCAGCCAAGACGCTGACATAAGGACCACTTTGGGTCAGAAGGGGCTCTGGGTTTTGGGCCGTTCATCAGGTCTAGATCGGGAAGCCTGCGCTGGGCCGAGGCTCGCCGCAATCTAGAACAATCCGTTCGTTCCTTGTTTGGCTTTTTCTAGTTTCTGATAGCACGATGCCTGTAGTTTTCTTTTGGGCCCTTCGGGGGTCTCCTCCAAGGGCTGAAGCTGCGTCGGCGATGATGATGGGCGGGGGAGGACGACAGAAAATCACTGGTCACCAAAGCACCCCAACCCAACCCGAAGGCCCCAATTTGCCGTCCATTCCCATGGGGGGGGGAGCGTCGGGTAACATGGAAGATGGAACCCGCACCCCCACCTGAAATTTGGGTCTTCGAGTTGGGTTGGGGTGGTCTGGTAGGTCGTCAGAGAAGGAAGAGCGGCGGCGTCAGGACGAGGCGCGAGGAGGAGATAGGGGAAGAGGATGTCAGAACGTTGTGCGATGAAGAGCAGGATGTCAGGACGAGGACGAGGAGGAGGAGGGGGAGAAGGGGGAGGGGGAGGGGGCAATATCTGACGTCCTACCCCTCCCTCCAATCCCTTACCATGGCGTAGATCTCCTCTCTATTCGCACAGTCGGGCGTCGTAGCAGGGCATAGCATTATATGGCGTATCATGGTGTTGGAGATCAACGCGTAGCCTGACATAGCATGGCGTGGCGACGCCCCAAAGTGGGGGGATTTTCTGCGGCAGAAAACAATCGACACCGAATGCGTAATCACTTCCGATGATTGTTTCGGGGTGCCATTTTTTAGATATGGGAGTCTATTTGGAAGGACCGAAAACCATGCCGTGACATGGCGCTGGAAATAATGACGCCAGCGCTGCAGCGTGAGCACGATTCGGAACGAGCGGAAGCTCGGAAATGAGGCCATCGTTGCAGCGGGAGCACGATTCGGAGGACGCGTAGCCAGACATAGCATAGCGTGGCGACGCCCCAAAGTGTGGGGGGCTTCTGCGACCCCAAATATAAACGAATCGACACCGATCGTGTAAATCACTTCCGATGGTTGTTTCGGGGAGCTTTTTTTTTTTTTTTTTTTTTAGATTTTGGGGCATATTTGGAAGGACCGAAAACCATACCGTGGCATGGCGCTGGAAACAATGACGCCAGCACTGCAGCGGGAGTACGATTCGGAACGAGCGGAAGCGCGGAAATGAAACCAGCGCTGCAGCGGGAACACGATTCGGATCGAGCGGTAGCCCGAACATGAGGCCGGCGCTTGAGCGAGAGCAGCATTTTGAGAAAAACCGTAGGGAAAACCCTTTTCCCGGGAATCCTGTGTGTAAGAAACCATTACGTGGAGGGGGGCCGGCCATTTCTCGAACGCCACCAGGGGAGAGAGGAGAGTAGTATTCATATTGTTTCATTGTAGAGGGAGGAAGATGTCAGGACAGGGGCGAGGAGGGGGAGGAGTGCGAGGCGCGAGGAGGAGGAGGAGGAGGAGGAGGAGGAGAAGGAGGAGGAGGAGGAGGAGGAGGAGGAGGAGGAGGAGGAGGAGGAGGAGGAGGAGGAGGAGGAGGAGGAGAGGGAGAAGGGTTTCAGGACGAGGACGACGAGGAGGATGCCGGGACGAGGTGCGAGGGATGAGGGAAGGGAGCTGCACCAGATGGAGCAGGAGACAAGGAGGGAGGGGAAGAGATGTGGAGCGTGAGGAACGTGGGAGGGGGGGGGGCGAAGAGAACAGGTGAGGTGAGGATCAGCGGGGAGGAGCATGAGGACGCGGTATTAGGACAGGACGAGGGGTCGTCCTCAGAGTAGGAGCCCCCAGGGCATGAAGAGCGATGCGCAGAAGTGCTTCGCCATGTCGACCAGCCGCATCAACGGCGACTTCGTATACTTCATCTTCCACCACCTCAGGCCTGCACGGCTGGCCACGGCAGCCGTCCCCGGACGGCAACTCTCCCGACCGCCTCCGGAGGTGTCCAGGGGCCTCTGGTCTGGAGACCACACCAGATCTTGACGGTGGCTCCACGATGAGCACCAGCTTCGCTCAATGTCCGATCCTCCAGTCCTTTGGGGGATGAGCAACTGAGGACATCGAAACCGAAACGACGACATAATAGAGGAGGTCCGCGTGGATTTCTTGGATCTGAGCGGGATCCCCCCTTCCTGGCGCGTGGAGCGCGCCAGGGGCGGCGCCGGCCCAGCCTAGATCCAGCAAGTCCGCGTGGCGCTTCGAAAGCTGGTGTTTATGTTGTTTCTCTCGCATCCAAAGTGCGGTTCTTGTTTTCTTTGCACCCCCCCGCGCAGGATCTCCTCCTCCTCCTTGCCTCTCTCTTCCTCACTCACACGCTCGCCCACTCAGACACCCACGCACTCATCATAATGATCATCAGCATCAGCAGCAGCAGCAGCAGCAGCAGCATCAGCATCAGCATCATCATCATCATCATCATCATCATCATCATCATCATCATCAGCATCATCATCATCATCATTATCACCATCATCATCATACTCAACATAAAGATCATCATCATAGTCATAATCATCACCATCATCATCAGCAGCATCATCATCACCATCATCAGCATCATACTTATGATAACCATCATCATGAGTATCATAATCAGCATCATCATCACCAGCTTCAACACCACCATCAGCAGCATGTCATCAGCATCAGCGTCAGCATCATTATCATCACCAGCAACAGTATCATCATCAATATCATCATCATCATCACCATCACCATCATCGTCATCATCATCATCACCATCACCGTCATCATCACCACAAGCATCATCACCATCACTGTCATCATCATCATCATCAGCATCACCACCACCATAATCAACACCACCAACGGTATCATCATCATCACACTCGACATCACCATCACCATCATCACAACCATCATCATCAGCATCATGATCATCACCACCACCATCATCATCAGCATCATCACCACCATCATTATCATCGTCAGCAGCATCATCACCACCATCATCATCACCATCATCATCGTCATTATCATCATCATCGTCATCATCACCATCATCATCATCATCACCGTCATCACCAACATCGCCAGCATCGTCATCATCACCATCATCACTATCACCATTACCCTCACCATCACCATCATCATCACCACCAGCATCAGCATCTGTACCAGCACCAGCATGATCAGCATCATCAGCATCCTTATCCTCATTCTCCTCATGATGATCATCCTCATCATCATCATTCTCATTATTATCATCATTATTATCATCATATCAGTCAGCCTTGACTCCAAATAGGTATAGACGACTCAAACCAAGGAATCAGGGGAATCAAGCATGCTTGGATTCCGCAACTCAGCAAGCAAGCAAGCGTGCAAGCAAGCGTGCAAGCAATCGCGCAAGCAAGCAAGGAAGCAAGCAAGCAAGCTAGCAAACAAGCATGCAAGCAAGCGTGCAAGCGCGCAAGCAAGCAAGCAAGCAAGCAAGCGAGCATGCAAGCAAGCAGGCATAGGCTTAGGCGTAGGCATAGGAGTTCGGGAGGAGGCATAGGCATAGGCATAGCCATAGGAATTAGGGGGGCATAGGAATTAAGGTGGGGCAGCGGACCAATTTGTAGGGTTTGAGCTAGGACTCCTATAGGGCAAGCCTATGTGGGTCATCATCATCATCATCATCATCATCAGCATCAGCATCATCATCATCATCGTCATCATCATCATCATCATCGTCATCATCATCATCATCATCATCATCATCACCACCATTATCATCATCATCATCATCATCATCATCATCATCATCATCATCATCATCATCATCATCATCATCATCATCATCGTCATCATTATCATCCGCCGTAGCCATTTTGGCTCAAGGATTCAAGCCCGACCCTTTCACCTCGCCGCGCACCCCCCTCTCCAGCCTCGTCCAAGGCCAGCCGCGATGGCCCGCCTCGTCGCAGCGGCAGCGCTGGTGAGCGGCGCCTCGGCCTTCGTCCAGGGCCCGGCGGCACCGCCGGCCGTGGCGCAGCCGCGCTTCGCGGCCGTCGAGGCGGCGCTCCCAGAGGCCCCCGCCCCCGAGGTCGAGTCGGGCTGGGCCTCGTGGGCCGCGCCGCTGCTCGGCGCCGGCGCCGCCCTGGGCCTCGCCGCCTCCCTGGCGGTGGCGCCGGCCAGGGCGATCACCGCGGAGCAGTTCAGCCAGCTCACCTACTCCCAGGTTCGGCTAGACGTAGGAGTGGACCTTCGCTGGGATGACCTCTGGTGCGGGCACACCGGGGCCCCCCGCTCGCCGAGTGCGGCGCGAAAGCAGCGGCTGGCATCCTTGGGCTTGGCACCCTCGCGTCCTTTTCAACTCGGGCCGGACGAAAGGGGGGGATTGGGAAAGGGGGGGTTACGAAATTTGCTGCATGCAGCTGGTTTCGGCCTCACCGAGGGGCCCATTCCTCGATACTTAGCCGCCTCCGGCGACGGGAGGCGCCGGGAAAATCAGCTTCGTGAGCTGATTCTCAAACCCCCCCTTTGCTATCCCCCCCTTTCGCCCGACCCGATCAACGCCGCGTGCCAGAGGTCACTCTTGCCTGGGGCCACTCCTGCGTGTAGCTGACAGGTCCGGGGCTCCGGCCTCGCGAACCGCTGCCCCACGGTCGACCAGGTGGGCACGGAGGTCCCCGTCGTGAAGGGCAGCAGGTCAGAGCCCCGAATCATCAGGGGTAACTCGGGTCAGGGAGAACTCGGGTTCGTTTTTCGGGAATCCAAACCCGAGTTACCCCGGACCCGAGTTACCCCGGATAACTCGGGCGTCCAGAGCCCCGAATCATCAGGGGTAACTCGGGTCAGGGCTAACTCGGGTTCCTTTTTTCGGGAATCCAAGCCCGACTTACCCCGGACCCGAGTTACCCCGGATAACTCGGGCGCCCAAGCAGGATGAAGAACTTCTGCCTGGAGCCGAAGTCCTTCGCCGTCGAGGCCGAGACCGACAAGGGCAAGGAGTTCGTCACGACCAAGCTGACGACACGGCAGACGTACACGATCGCGTTCGTCGAGGGCTCACTGAGCCCCAACCCCCTCACCTTCAAGGAGGAGGACGGCATGGACTTCCAGGCGACGACCGTCAAGCTGCCGGACGGCGAGTACGTGCCATTCCTGTTCTCCTGTAAGTCGCTGGTCGCCAAGGGCGAGGGCAGCTCGTTCAAGCCGGGCTACACCTGGGGCGGCGAGTTCATGGTCCCGTCCTACCGTACGGGCGGCTTTCTCGACCCCAAGGGCCGCGGCATGTACCTCGGCTACGACCAGGCCGTGGCCCTGCCCGCGCTGCAGGCCGACGGAAAGGAGGGTCAGGAGGAGCTGTTCAAGGAGACCAACAAGGTGTTCGACGTGGGCAAGGGGGCCATCGAGATGGAGGTCAACAAGGTGAACCAGGAGCTCGGCGAGATCGGTGGCGTCTTCGTCTCCAAACAGCCGTCCGACACGGATATGGGTGCCAAGGCGCCGAAGACGATCTTGTTGAAGGGCGTATTCTACGGCAAGGTGGTCTGATCCAGAATCCGATGGCTTCTCTCTGGTGCGGACGATCTCTTCGTTTGCGGTGCTCGCCTCACTGCCTCAGCTGATTCTCCTTCTCGAATATCTGCCGCTGCTGCAGCAGTGGATGCTCTCACAGGGTCGGCTGCAGCCAATCGAGGCGGAGCTCGAGGCAGCATGCGTGCAAGCGACGTTTTTTGAATATGGTGCTGCCGGTACTGCTTCTCCCTCTGGGCCTCCCTCCTCCCTCCCTCCTCCTGTTCCCTCTGCTTCTGCTGCTCTTTCTCCTGCTCCTGCTCCCTGCTCCTTACTCCTGCTTCTGCGCCTGCTGATCTGCCTCCTCTTCTGTGTGTTCGCCCGAACCGGCTGGCCCGCTTTTTCCCGAGACGCTGCGATAGAAGCGCGGCCGCGGCTACGGGCCAAGTCCCGCGTGTGTTTTCGGCGTGTCGCCGTGATTTCTTGGACAGGGTGCAGCAGGTTTTTTTGGGGGGCCCGGGCCCGGCGCGCGCCAGGTTTTGTGTATCATTCTGAGGACGGCAAGATGAAGACAAGCAACGCCTGGGAATGATATCATCATCCTTATCAGCAGCAGCAACACCATCATCGTTCCCCACATGGACACCCGGCGCAGGAGTGCAGCCACCCACACGCACACACCTCATCATCACCATCATAATCATCATCAGCATCATCATCGTTATCATCATGCACCCACTCGCACTCACACACTCACTTATCACCACCACTCATTATCGTTATCCTCCTTATCCTCATCATCACCATCATCGTCGTCATCAGCATCAGCATCATCCTCGTCATCATTCATCATCACCATACACACTCACACAAACACGTACTCACCTTGAGGGAAGTCTTGAGCGGGAGCCCCTTCCCTGTGGGGCCGCACCTCATGTTGGTAATCCGAGTGGGCAATCGGAAAACTTGGCCAGGCAGAACGTTTGAGCACCCCAAGGGTGCAAATCGTGAGGCTGTCTCGAGCGGGGGCATCGTCTGTGAGTAAACTGCGAGGAAGTCTCAGGCGAGAGCCCACTCCGTATGGGAGCCGCATTTATTGTTGGTGATTCGAGCGGGTCAACGGATATTTTTTTTCAGGCGTATCGCTTGAGCACCCCAAGGGTGCAAGTCGTGAGGATGTCTCGAGCGGGGGCCTCGTCTGTGAGTAAATTGAGGAATCCTCAGGCGAGAGCCCACTCCGTATTGGTCCCGCACTTCATGTTGGTAATCCGAGCCGGTCATGGGAACATTTCATCACGCATATCGCTTGAGCACCCCAAGGATGCAAAACGTGAGGATGTCTCGAGCGGGGGCCTCGTAGGTGAGTGAATTTCGAGGAAGTCTCGGGCGTGACTGTCTCCCTCTATTAGGTTTGCGATCCTAGCGTGCCATCGGCGTAGTGTAACAGGCAAAGCACTCGAGCACAGCAAGGGACAAATCGTGAGGATGTCTCGAGTGGGGCCCCCCTCCCTCTGGGGCCCGTACTTCATGCTGGTACCTGGGATCCTCCAGCTTGAACCTGCCCTCCCCATAGGGTCCCCACCTCCATGTTGGAATCCGAGCGGGTTCATTCAAATTTTGTAGCTGCGCTCCACTTTCTGCCCCCCCAGACTAGAATCTGGAGGATGTCTCGAGCGGGAGCCTCGTCAGTGAGTGAATCGCGAGGAAGTCTCGAGTGTGAACCCTCGGGGAGCCTCCAAAGGTCACAGGACCTGCAGGAGGCTTCAGGAAGCCACAGGAAGCTTCAGGAGGCCCTTGGAGGCACCGGGAGGCCCCAGAGGCCGCAGGAGGCGTCAGAGCCACCAGGAAGCCTCAGGAGGCTCTACGAGTTCTGCAGGAGGCCACGGGAGGCCTCGGAAGGTCCAAGGATTACCCTGGGCCCCAGGAGGTCCCGGGAGGCGTGTCAGTCGGAGACTCGTCGCGCCTGCAGCCCATAAGTTGACCGGGGCGAGGGGCCTCCCAGAGGGCGAGGCCGCGCTGGCCGACGGGGGAGGGGGTGGAACTCCAGGTCGGCCCAGAGAGGAGGGGTCGCATCCCGAGGCGTCTCCCCTCCTTAGGAGCAGGGGTGAAGGCGAGGCCGGACTCCCCATGGGGTTGAGTCGAAGCCCAGGAGCTTGGATGTGCACCAGAGGGGGTCCTCAGCCAGAGCCCAAACGAACGGTCGAGGGCCGCCGCTTCGCCCCCTTTCCCTGCACTGTCTTATCCCTCCCTCCCTTTTCCTCACTCGTTCTCCTCCCCTGCCTCCCTTGGAGTTTGCGCGCGATGGAGGAGGAGGAACATCAATCATAGTAATAGTAAGGCTGAGAGATTACTAGCACGAATAAGGATACGACCACATGTATTCAGAACACAAATGCGCTTACGCAATTCTATCAATAATAATGCGATTATGAATCATTTTGAGACGCAGAATAAGCATACAACTAATACTAGTGCGAGGAGGAGGAAGAGGAGGAGGAGGAGGAGGAGGAGGAGGAGGAGGAGCAGGAACAGGAGGAAGAGGAGGAGCAGCTACAGGAGGAAGAGGCGGAGGAGGCGAAGGAGGAGGCGGAGCAGGTGGAGGAAGACGTGGAGGAGGAGGAGGAGGAGGAGGAGGACGAGGAGGAGGAGGAGAAGCAGGTAAAGGAAGACGTGGAGGAGAAGGCGGAGGAGGACGAGCAAGAGGTAGAAGAGGAGGAGGAGGAGGAGGAGGAGGAGGAGGAGGAGGAGGAGGAGGATGGGGAGGAAGATGGAGGACGAGCAGGAGGAGGAGGATGAGAAACTGTAGGCGGAGGTGGAGGAGGAGCAGAAGGAGCAGGAGGAGGAGCAGGAGGAGGAGGAGGAGGAGGAAGAGGAGGAGGAGGAGGAGGAGGAGGAGGAGCAGGAGGAGGAGGAGGCGGAGGAGGGAGAGGAGGAGGACAAGAGCAAGAGGAGGAGGATGGAGAGGGTCGCGAGGCCTGGGGACCACGTATGGGGAACAAAATACGGCGACGGATGTCCTGGCAGGCACAGGGGCTACGAGTGCCTGCAGGCGCCATACTTCGCCGGGGCGCAGCTGTCGCACTTCGCGGAGCCCAGTAGTCGCTGGTCTTCGGTCGGCCGTCGGTCGTGTGCCGTCGGTCGTTGGTCGTCGGTCGGCGTCGTCGATGTTTTCGATGTCGATGTCGTCGACGTCGTCGTCTGAGTTGCCAGTGGTCGCCAGTGATGGTGGTGGTCGTCGTCGTCGTCCTCATCGTCGGCGTCGTCGGGGTGAAGATGAGGGGGGGATAGGATGAGGATGACGAGGGATAGAGTGGATTTCATAAGTCTCGCACAAACAAAGATTCCATTTGGGGGAGGCGGCGTAGGAGAGAGGAGGAGGAGGAGGACGAGGAGGAGGAGTCGGAGGAGCAGAATATAACGAGAAGGTGTTTGGAGCAAGACATGGAAGAGGAGGAGGAGGATAAGGAGGAAGAGGAGGAGGAGGAGCAACAGGAGGAGGAAGAGCGAGGAGGGATTAGGAGGAAGAGGATGGAAGGAGGAGGAGGTGGAGGAGGAGGAGGAGGGGGGGCAACACATAACAAACACATGAGCAGGAAGAGTTGGTTGTCGGTCGTCGGTCGTCGGTCGTCGGCGTCGTCGTCTTCGTCGCCTTCGTCGTTGTCGTCGTCTTCGTCGTTGTCGTCGTCATCAAAGTCGCCTGTGGTCGTCGGTGCTGGTGGCGGTGTTGGCCATCATCGTCGTCGTTGTCGTCGTTGTCGTCGTCGTCGTCGTCGTCGTCGTCGGCTTCCGGGTGCGGGTGAGGGGGGGTAGATGAGGATGAGGATGACGAGGAGGATGGGGAGAAGGGAGTGCATTGCAATCGTCTCGCGCCAAAAATCTGTCACGTGGGGGAGGCGGCGGAGGAGAGAGGAGGAGGAGGCGGAGGGGAAAGAGGACAACGAGGAGGCGTTTGGAGCAGGAAAAGGAGGGGATATAGGAATAGGAGTACTAGCTACTAGCAGGAGGAGGAGGAGGAGGAGGAGGAGGAGGAGGAGGAGGATGAGGAGAAGTAGTGTGAGGATGAGGAAGATACGCAACGCATCAACGTCATGAGGAGGTCGAGGAGGACGATATGGATAAGGAGGAGGGCGTGATTCGGGAGGAGAGGGGGAGAACGAGGAGGATGGAAGAGGGAGAAAGGGTACGGAGGAGGGGCAGGCAACTTATACATGTTGGTGCGATCAGATGGGCAGCCGCTGCTAGGATACACACATATGTATACATACATAGATAACTATGCCATGCAATGGAGGCGTAACAGCTCGACCATGTCAGAGTGACATGTGCATGTATATCGTTTTTTGTTGTGTGTGTGTGGTTCCCCAACCTTCCTGCTTTGGGTTCTCCTTTTGAATAGAGCAGCTGCGGTCGCGACTCCTCTCCTGTCCTCTCCCGCCCCCTCCTCCGTTCCTCTTCCCCCCTGCTTCCTACATCGCTCGCTCCTGCGTGCCAATTTGTCTCCTACCTCACCATCCCTGGGGGCTGCGATCTGCGAAACCGTCGCCACTTTCGAGGGCTGCTGGGGGGGGCAGCGGAGTGGTGTCATACACATATTCAGATTCGACCTCGCACTCCCTGGGGGGCTGCGATCTGCGAAACTGCCACCACTCTCGAGGGCTGCTGGGGGGCCCATCTGGATGGCTGCTGGGGGGCCCAGCGGGGTAGGGTCATACTCAGATTCAGATTCGACCTCGCACTCCCTGAAGGGCTGCTTTCTGCGAAACTGTCACCACTTTCGAGGGCTGCTGGGGGCCCAGCGGTCTGGGGCCATACGCAGATCCAGATTCGACCTCGCCATCCCTGGGGGGCTGCGATCTGCGAAACTGTGACCACTGTCGAGGGCTGCTGGAGGGCCCAGCGGAGTGGTTTCATACGCAGATTCAGGGTAGACCTCGCCATCCCTGGGGGGCTGCGATCTGCTAAACTGTCGCCACTTTCGAGGGCTGCTGGGGGGCCCAGCGGAGTGGGGTCATACGCAGATTCAGATTCGACCTCGCCATCCTTGGGGGGCTGCGATCTGTGAAACCGTCACCACTTTCGAGGGCTGCTGGGGGCACAGCGGAGTGGGGTCATACGCAGTTTCAGATTCGACCTCGCCATCCCTGGGGGGCTGCGATCTGCGAAAGTGTCGCCACTTTCGAAGGCTGCTGGGGGGGCCCAGCGGGGTGGGGTCATACGCAGATTCAGATTCGACCTCGCCGTCCCTGGGAGGCTGCGATCTGCGAAGCTGTCACCACTTTCGAGGGCTGCTGGGGGGGCCCAGCGGAGTGGGGTCATACGCAAAATCAGATTCGACCTCGCCATCCTTGGGGGGCTGCGATCTGCGAAACTGTCACCACTTTCGAGGGCTCACCACTTTCGAGGGCTGCTGGGGGCACAGCGGAGTGGGGTCATACGCAGCTTCAGATTCGACCTCGCCATCCCTGGGGGGCTGCGATCTGCGAAACTGTCGCCACTTTCGAAGGCTGCTGGGGGGGCCCAGCGGGGTGGGGTCATACGCAGATTCAGATTCGACCTCGCCGTCCCTGGGGGGCTGCGATCTGCGAAGCTGTC